TGCTGCACAAAAGCAACTGAACTGCCTCAGGGTTCACAGGCACATGCTTACTCGCTAGGAACAAGAATGTCACCAAGGTCTTGACATGTTTTCATATACAAAGTGTTCTAGAGGTGTAGAAAGTTAAGTATATATCCTTCACTAAGGGTTGAAAAACAACATCTTATGGAGTAAAATTTTCCATTTGTGTTTAATTATTTGAGAACTGTGTAGGGGTCATAAAATGGAGAATAATCGCTGTGGTATTAGTGAGAACCAGGTAAGTTGCAAGCTCTTGGTGGGTATAGTGTTGACTAACAAAGAATACGGATAGCAAGATCTCACGGAGATGCAATTCCATTTCATAGTTTGTTATGGGTTAAAGCCATCCTACAGCACTCCTGTGGATTCTACAGGGTGTTTGAGGACACAAAATGAAACAATTCTTCCTATACAGTTGCTGGTCAGTGTTCAGGCTTAGCTGAGCAATGCATTCAGAGAAGGAACCCTATGATTAGTCAACATGTACAGTCCAGTTCATTCACTGTGTGAACAATATTACCTTTCCTTGATTTTCCCTTTCCCTTTTCCTTTCCTTACTTTTTAAATGTCTCTATTTATTTTTAAGAATCTCATATTTGATTATATTCATCTCCTCCTTATTCCTCCCAAATTTTCCCCTACTCCCATGCCATCCACTTTATATTCTCCTTTATATCCTCTGTCTCTATCTCTACATCCCTGTTTATTTTCTCTCTCTCCCTCTCTTTTTCCTCCTCGCCCTTGCTGACCTAGCACAGTTCGTGTTGGGTGACTACTCCTAGGTGCGGAGTCTGCTGAAGTGTGGGCAGTATATCAGATGTTACTCAATGAAGAGAACTGACTTTCCTTCTCCCCGCAGTAATCAAATGTCAGGAGCTCCTCAGCTATTGGTGGACTTCATGTCCACGCCCACTCCTCCATGCTGGGATTTCATCTGGCTTCTGTAAGCTCGTTCGTGTATCTGCCCTGTTGTGTATGGAAAACTGTTTCCTTCACGTCGTCTACCACCTCTGATTCCCTCTTTCATATAGATCCTTGAGCCTTGAGGGGCGGGATCTAATACAGACATCCCATTTAAAGGTGAGCATTTAAAAAATATGCTCATATTACTTTATTCAAGAAAAGGTTATAAGTGCCACAAGAATGTCAGCAGTAAGCATGGTTAAGAAAGCAGAGAGTTGACTATATTGTGTAAGGAAATTAGGAGACCATGGAGGACAACACGTTAGATCATTGGCTTTAGTTCCATGGTATTTGTCATGTATTTTTATGGTGAAAATTGTTCCCTGTTTTAATTTATTTTATTTTGAGATTATAGTATAATTACATCATTTCCTCTTTGCCTTTCTCTCTCCAAATCCTCCCATATGTTCATCTGTGTTTTTCTTGTAGATCTATGGCCTGTGTTTTTCACTAACTGTTGTTTCATACATATATGTATATGCATATACATACTTATTCATAAATATGCAAGTACAACTTGCTAGGGATGAGAATTTTGAAGTCTCTTATTTTCAGTACATTGACCAGTTGCAGTTTTCTGTTGCTATCAATTCAAAGCAGCTTCTCTGATGAGGTTGAATCATGCACTAGTCAATGAATTATAAGGTATCAGGAGTCATCGGTTTAACAGAATAATAGTAGCAGGTTTTACCCTAGGGCCCATGCCCTATCTAGCCACAGATTCTTACCCTCATTGACTGTGTCAGGAATGGGTTCCATCTTGTAGTGCAGGCCTTAAGTCCATGAAATCTAATTTTTAAGTGATTTGCTACTTCCATAATATTCATGCCGCTATTGTACTAGTAAATGTATTTTGCTGGGTAGGTCGTTATTGTAGTTCTCAGGGTTCATAGCTGAGTGAGACTGACGATTCCTTTTCTCCAGTGGTATGCATAGCATCTTCCAGCACCAGGAATGAATAATAGTAAGCCAGTAAGGATGAAGCTTCCAGTTGAGAGCCGGGTAGATTTCTGTGTGCTCTATGACTTAAGTATGTAGTGTCTTCAGCAACAGAGTCTTACTGTCAAGTTCTGGATGGGCAATCAAGAACACAGGAAATAACTAATAATGTTTGGGGGAGATCAATGAGACACCATTGACCAACAGCTCAAAAAGATGTCACCCATTCCTGGGGTTTTTATTTGGTAGCATATGATGTCTAGTTGGACTGTTTGTTCTGCCATTATAGGGTATCTCCATTTAAACTACTGTGTAGATTTTCATATGGCTTTTTCAAAAGGCCTTAGTGTTTGTTGTCCCTCCCACATTTCCTCCTCTACCCTGCCCTCCCATCTCCTGCCCCATTAAAATCCTTCCTGTTCTAAAGTGCCTTGAAAAACTTGTTTACATAGTATAAGGAGCAAAACATTTACTTTTAAGGGCATCTCAGGAATTTGACCTTGCTTAATTATGGATCTAACATTTCCCTGATTGGGGGTGGTCAGGAGTTACACACAAACCAAAGGGGGTTGAGTTTTGCTCTCGTCTGAGTGAAAACCAAGTATGCCTTATTCCTTGAGATTTGAGGTTGGCTTAATGGTAAGGTATGCCTGTTGAGAGCCTTTCTGCTGGCACTGAATCCACAGGGCAGTCTTTATCTCTTCTCTCTTAGTGCACTTAGCTGTAGGGCACCTGAACTCCTGCAGTCGTTAAAATGCATGTTCTAGCCATGCTTAGACTGATGAATCACAATCCCCAGAGAGGAGCCTTGCTGAACAGTTCCCTAGCTGACTCTCATGCCGAAATTTCAGGATCACTCCCTGGAAGAGGATCCCAGGGCAGACTGCATAGTGGATGTCTAAAGTTTGCCAAAGTTAGCCTGTTGATACAGTCTTTCTTTGAATTCTGGGTAGTTTTGTGTCTAAGGTCTGTTTCTCTATATAAAAGGAAAGTGTAAGTGTCCTGTATGTTCCCAACTAAAGCTTCTTGCATAATTGTCTAGCAGTCTCACAGAACACCTTCAGGTCATCCTTCCGACTATGACTGCATTGGATATTTTAAATTTAGGATGGACAATACGTGGAGAACTAATCAATATAGAAGAAAAATAATTTCTTTATGTATAATCTTCACACCTGTCAATGTCTTCTAAAAATGTCCCTATAATTTTACTACGTTGGTTCTTTAAGCACGTACTGTTTCTAAGTACTAAGAGCAATTTATGCATAGTAGTATAATTTTGCTGTTTTTTTTAAATTAAGTATTGTATTACTCAAATATTACACATGGTGAAAATACTGCATGAAATACCACTTTCCAGAAGCTTTTGGAAAATTGGGTTGTTGGTTTTTTTTTTTTTTAAGGATTCTGGACTTAAAATAACTCCTTGGTTCATAACTCAGACCTTACGACTTTACCAAAACAAATATAACTGGCATCTTGAATAGCTATTTTGTGCACAGACTGTATTTCCATTTATTAAGCTATTGAAGGGGTTAGTGTATGATACTAACATGGCCAACATTTTAGTAGTGGTGAGTAAAAAGCCTGTTCTATTAAGGGCAGAGTTAGAGCTTTTGCAAGATGTAGGGAAACGAAATAAAAAGAATCTTTGCCCAGGACCATAGCATGTTTGCACCAATGGTAATGATGTCATTGCTCTTGGAGGCTGTTGATAGAAACTGAGTCTTGCTTTTGGAAAAGGATATATGTAAAGCTAAGTTAGTGTAACTATGTCCCAAAAGAGGAAGACTCAGATTCTTAGGTCAGTTGCTCGATAATCTAGGAAGAGTGTAGTATCTTTTGTTCCCATCATTTCAGCTAAAATAAGTTTTGAGAAAAGATGGAGTTGTTTTGGGACTAGGTCAGACAAGGATGGGGAAAGTGGTTCTTTTTTTTGACATTTCCCCTAAGCCTCTTAAAGTACTTATGGTCAAGGCTGTTCCTTGGTTTAAAAATCTTTCCAGCCACTTTGGCTGCTGGGCATACCAGTTTTTAGTGAAACAAGTTTGTTTAGACAGGAGAGTCAGAAAGAAGCCTCTGGGCCGTGGAGTGCAGCTGCTGGTGTAGGCTGTGGTCCTGAACGTTCCACTTGGAAATCCTCACCATGTATATCACTTAGCTCTGGAAAGGAGCCCAGAGATCAGATAGTCCAGCCCCTCCTGTTTACATGTAATAAACTAAGGCCCAGGCTCACCAGCCCATGTGCTTAAACTTAGATGGCAGACAGCAGACCTCAGGCCTGTGTCATTGGGTTCCTACTTGACTTCATTCTTCTAGACACACACTGCATCAAGAAGGCACGGCAGGGGAGTTAAAATGCTCGAAGCAGGAAACCTGACGTCGAGTGGTCTGACTGCACTGTTTTCCTCTCTACCTGGGTTCCTCCTACTAATGGTTTTAGTCCAAAAACTGGTCAAAAGCTTCAGACGTGTCCTTGGCACTCCTGGGATGAATTATGACCCCCTATTGTCTGTTCATAAGGAAATGTGCACATTCCCCATTAGATTTATAATGTTATAATTAACCCATTGCCCAACTCCTACTAACCATTAGATTAGGCTTTCTAGGAGCATGAACACATCTTCAACTTCAAGTCTCCATTGCTTAGCAGAGGGTGCTTTGTAATTGCCTCATTGGTTGATGAACCAATGCTGAGCCAGTCATTTTCTTATGCAGTTTCAGGAAATATTTGGCCTTTTTTTGGTTGTAAAAACCATTCACGATTTCTGGCATAAACTGCCATTTTTAAGGCTGTACCGTAAGAGGTGATTCAGAATGGGTATGTCAAGGTAGCTACACATTTATTAAGTAGCTGGTGGGTTGGTACAAATAAATGGTCTAGCAACTGCTTTGGGCAAGGTCCGTTCTGTAATTGGTTCATGGAGTCTTGGTCCCAAACATCTGTCATAGTCATCACTGATCTGAATGAAAACATAGTGCTTCTCTTCCTACCCACTGCCACCAGTCCCTCGCCGTCATACTGACTGCTCATGAGGAAGACGTGTTAAACAAATCCCAAGGCTCACACCAGTTACCTCTGGGAACACGAAGAAGGTTCTACTACTAAGCCACTTAAGTTCCTTAGGAGAAGGTTGACCCCTCTCACTGGGATTACCACCATGGTACAGGTCTATCTTGGACAGGTCAAAATTGGTCTGAGAATCAAGGCAGGGGCAAAAGCCCTTATATACACAGTCCTGTGACTACAGAGCTGACCTCTCACCCTAGCTTACCTGTGGGCAGAGTGCTTTAAGCTAGGCCCAAGCAGGTGCGAGGGCCAATTTGGACAGCCAGACACTGAATTGTTGCTTGGGATTGAAGTTTCAAATGAGTAAATATATTTGCTGATGTTTTCATAGTTCTGAAAATCCAGTGGAACATACCTTGCCCGTGTGAGAATTTTTTAGACATTAACTTAAAAGAAAATACCCAAGTGAGGTAGTAACTATACTCTCTTGCTATGATGACTGAGAGAATTGCTGGCCCTTCTGTATATTTCCATATTGTGCTGGTGGTCGTTTATCAACTTGACAGAAACTAGAGTCACCTGGGAAGAGGGAACCTCAAATGATGATTTCCTCCATATGATTGGCCTGTGGGCATGTGGGGGTGCATTTTCTTGACTAATGATTGATGAGAGAGGACCCACTATGGGCAGTGCCATGCCCAGGCAGGTGGTCTCTGATTATATATGAAAGTAAAGCGAGCAAGCCATGGAGAGCAAGCCAGTATGCAGAGTTCTTCCAAGAGTTCTACTTCAAGCTCCTGTCCTGAGTTCCTGCCCTGCCTTCCGTCAGGGATGGACTGTGACATGGAAGTGTAAGCCAAATGGACCCTTTCTTTTTCCGGGTTCATTTCAGCCCATGTTTTATCACAGCATCAGAAAGTAATTAATACACACATACAGAGAGCTTACAAATTTTTGACTTTACAGTGCTGCAGAAATTATAACGTGCTCGTTAAAAACAATACTTCAAGGTTTGAATTTTGATTCCCCTTCCCCCCATCCCCGTTTAGCAGTAGCCATGAGGCTGTTCTCAGTGCCACAGAGCAGCAGCAGGCTATAGCGTACACTTGGCCACATGATTACCAAAAGTAGATGCTGAGCTCTACTGTATGCTATACTGTTATTAAACATGATAACTTGGGAAGATATTGGCTCTAGTGTCTTGAGCGTGCTAGGTAAGCACTCTGACATCAAAATACTTCCCTAGCCCCTCTTGTTTTTTAACTTTAGACAGGACTGGTCTTGAATTTAAAATTCAGCTGCCATGGCTTCATGAGGAGCTGGGGTTATAGGCATGTGCCACTGTGCCAGCCTGAGTGAATTTTTAATTTATAGTGTTTTCAAACTAAGATGGGCTTTTCAGGATGTAACTACATGGAAAACCCAGGAGTATCAATATACTACAGTGTGCTTGGATTTAGTTCCTCATGCTGGTTTTTTATTATTATTATTCTATAGCTTAATTCATAGTTTATCTGTACTTAAATTCATGTTTCTATAATTTTAAATGTCAAAATAGCATGCCTTGTATTTTCTGCTGTTATTTGCTTAATGGTCAACCTGATGTTGAGTGCTTTGTTTATTTTTGATGGTTCGCTATGATACTATCACATAGAGTTCATATATTCACTTAAGCATGTGAATTCCACAGGGGGTGTTCTCATGAGAGCGTTAGATGTAAAATTAAAGGCAGTTGTCTTGCTTATTACAGTATTGATTTCCAGAGACAATATCCCAGAATGCAAGCCCCCAACCATCTGGGGCCTGCTGGGGAAATGTTATCTTTGTGGCCTGTTTTATGAGTTTGTTTCCAAGTTTTTTAAGTGTCGGGACGTATCTAATTTCCTTATAAGATGACTTATTTTCATATCAATGACAAACATGTCTCCTCCATATTTGAGAGTCATGAAGGTAAGATCCAACTGCCTTTTGTGTGATTGACCCTGGAGGGACAGGATATAGCATCGTGATGAATGTTAGGAATGAGAATTCTTGATGTTGCATAAAGAAACACACAACCCAAGAGAAAGTTATCTGGCAAGGCAATCTCTTTTTATAAAAAGAATGTGCCAGATTCTATACCAGGCTGCCTGAGTGGCCCAAGAGGTCTCTGTCTTTTATTCCTGATGTAGGTACATGAATCTCATTCCAGCTTCACAATTTTCAGTGTGATGCAATTGGCTAGTCAGGGGAAAGGAGGGGAGAACTCATGTCCAGTTAATTGTCTTTGATAGAAACAACAACATATTTCTCACAAGTGGTGGGAGGGCCTACAGTACCAGGGAAGATCAGTTGTGTGGTCCTGAACTAGGACATTTGGATTTGTTGTAGAACTGAGGAAGCTGAGTGGGGTGGGGAACAGCTGTTCCCTAAGCTCACGGAAGGCTGAGACAGGAGGATCACCTAAATCAGCCAGTGGGGCTACAAAGCAAGACTCTGTATCAAGAAACAAAACAAAACAAAGCCAATCAATAGAACTAGAAGAGTAGGGTGTTCTGATTTTGAGATGGAAGACATGCTGAGGCTCCACTGTGAAGAATGGATTTTGCTTTAAAATGGAACAAGAGTTTGTCATGGTGGCACTTCCTGCCAGAGTGTTTTCTAGTATTCCCACTTCAGAAAGACCACCATGTTTGATGGAAAGGGTTCTGGGTCAGCTATAAAACAGTAGCATGTTATTTCAGAAGTCTTGGGGGAGGAACTGAAGGCAGAAGTTTCTGAAAATGTTTGTATGTCTGTAAAAGGTTAGCTGGAAGGTCAGAAAAGGTCAGCTGAGGCCATTGCCTGTTTGTCTGGGCTCTCCTGTGAGGCCTAGAGCCGGCAGCTAAGTGAGTAAAGCGAAGGCCACTGTGTCGATGTACCTTCCTGCAATGCTGAGCACGTGCTGCATTATTATTTATGCAAGGTGACTTTGGTTTGGGACAGTCTAATCTGATCTTTTGAATTGATGATATGCCAGTTTCTGATTCAAATCAGTTTTACTAAACACCTGGAGACAAAGCCTGAACGTCCCCCATTTTTACTCTAAACTAGGTAATTTCTAGCTATTCCAAACTAGGGAATTTTTGCATCCACCTTATTACTGACACTTGTAACTCTTACTGAGATCTCCCACAGTTTAGATATAGCACCTACACCTCACATGCATTTAATGTGCACAGCCCAGTGACCTTTAATATAGTCAGAACTACTGATCTATCAACGGAATGTCAGAACATTTTCATCAGTTCAGTAAGAAACTGCTCACAGGCACTTTCCATTACTCTGTGATCCCATTCGCCCTTTGCAACTGCTAATCTGCTTTCTGGTGTGTAGATTTTACTATTCTGGGAAATTCACATGAGGAATATTAAATATGTGGCCTTTTGATTTAGTTTGTTCCCCTTAGGATGATGCTATTGGGATTCCCCTCTATAGTACCATATAGCAGTACTTGGTTCCTGTCTTTACTGATATGGCAGATCACTTTTTGTGCATCCATCAACTGATGGACATTTGTGCTGTTGCCACCTCTCAACTCTTAAGAATAATCTTTGTTCCTGTATTTTTTCTTTTTGTGGGTTTTATGGAGATTGTTTGTTTGTTTGTTTGTTTGTTTGTTTTTGAGACAGGGTTTCTCTGTGTAGCCCTGGCGTAGCCTTGGCTGCCCTGGGGCTTGCCCTATAGACCATTTGGCCTCAAATTCAGAGATCCACCTGCCTCTGCCTCCTGAGTGCTGGGATTAAAGGTGTGTGTCACCACTTGCATTAGCTGTTTTGCTTCTTGTGTACCGTGCTGTTCTGAATGTCGGTATTTAAGTTTTATTGTGCACATGTTTTCATTTTCCATGGAGGTGTAGCTACTGGTGGGATTTCGGCATATCTAGAAATTACATGCTAAGCTTCCCGAGGAGCTGCCAGGTTGTTTTTGGAGAGGACTGTGCCATTTAGATCCCTACCAACAATGCATGTGTGTGTGATTCTGTATTACCTGGCAACACTTGTGACTGACAGTGCAGTGGTCTGTTTTGGCCATCCTGACGGTTGTGAAGGGGCATATCATTATGGTCTTTACATTTCTTTGATGACTCATAGAATAGAATAGATGGCTCACTCCTGACACTGTTCAAGCATTGAATAAACACAGTGCTCTAGGGAATTAAGGACATAGTTCAAACTGGCTGCTGCTCCTTTCTGTAGAGTCCCATGCTTCCCCAGGCCCAGTACAACGGCCAGCAGGAACATGGATGCGTGCCAGGCACTGTCTTCTTCCTCATGGTAAATGCTAAGAGGGTGATCCAATAGGCCTGTCTTCTTGGTCCATATTTCTGCCTAAGCAGTGCACAGGTGAGTAGGGGTATTTTGAAAAAAAATGGTACTTTTGTGGAGGGAGAAGTGATGGCCACAATTACCAAACTCCTGCCCATCTCTGTGCGTCACACAGAAGGCTGGGAGCCAAATAATCATGCCTTATATGTTGTCATGATTAAATTTAAGTCTTATTTATTTTATTTGTAACTCCATAGTACACTGAGGTATTTCAGTCGGTTCTTCTCACTCCTCAGCCAAGGACTGCACTGTAATTGCAGCGTGTTTTTTTTTTTTTTTAATAATAACTTCATTTGTAGTTTTTTCTATTTTAATTCAAGGTATTCATCATCAGAAATAAGGAAGCAGTTTACGCTCCCCCCCAACCTTGGACAGTTCCATCGGCACAGCATCAGCACGTCTGGTTTCCCCTCCCTTCAACTAGTAAGTATGTGTTACAGGTTTGTTTGGCCTGTGGTCAGGGGCAGAAGTGTGCAACATCTAAACTAACTCCCCTCCCCCGCCCCGCTAGCCTTAGCTCATTTAGCACCAAGCATTCTCCTCCTACTGCGTTATAACTTCTGCTTTCCTTTAGGCACCAAGCATCTCCTTCTGTCAGCCAGGACATGTATAGAAGGAGAGAACACAGAACTGTGGGTTCTGATGTTCTCTAGTCAGGGGGCTTTCAGGCTACTCAAACCCATCCCCCCATAGGTCATATGTGGGGTGAGGGGTAGCCTAGAAACTGACCACGAGCTCTAGCATATTTTGCTTGGAAATTTTTAGGTGACAAATCTCAAAAGCTGAAGTTACAAATCTTTCTTTTGACATAATTTTCTTGGCAGTTAAATCTACATACTATGAAATTTATCAGTGTTAGGATCACCGTTTGGTGAATCTGGGCAGTTTATTAGTCATTTAACTTCTACCCAGTCAAAGTCTAGAGCACTTTCCCTCACACCTTTTTGCATCCCCTAAATCCCACCTCAGGTGATCACTGAACCTTGTTGTGGTTGTAGGTGGGCCTGCCTGGAACTTTACACTGGTGGAATCTGTCACATGGGGGGACAAATCTTTAGTTTTAAAACATAACATTCACCATTTCAAGGTGCCTACCATTTGACATAACTAATCAACTGGTGATTATATATGTGTATCCTATTATTTAAGGGCTGAAGGCCAGATGAGTGCCAGGTGAGGCAAAACCATCTTGAACAAGACCGTTTATAACCCAGAAGTGGGTGTCGCTTCCTTTGAGCAAGCTGAGCCTGCCCTGCCTTCACTTCCTCACACAGCACAGCCCACAGCCACACTCTCTGGCTCATCTAGCGGTTATCTTGAGAAGGTTAGGTTATTTTTTGTTTCTAGTTATTACTTCAAAACCACTTCTGCTCTAAGAAATTTTGTAACCTTCGCCTGTTTCCTGTATGCGCCATCTTGTCGCCTCTGACAGTTTCCCTGCTGCATTAACTGTGTTTCTTCAGGTATGTTTCACTGGAGCGATTTCTGGTTATTTCAGAAGGATAGCTAGCTTATGTGTTGTGTCATTAATGAAACAGTACTAACAAATGTATGGCATCTTCACTGTGAGAGCTTCCTTTGTGGTGACATCTTTCTGAGAACCCTATTTATGACCTAGGAGCCTCGCTAGGCCACCCTTTTTATTTGTCTTTTCCTGTCTGCTTCAAAACTTAGGTTACAGTCAAAAGTTTGTGGTGCCTATGTTCTCGGTATAAGTGCACTGAGATCCGTCACATATAAGCCGGACTGGGTGTTTTCTGATTCAGGTTGTATTTCAAAATGTGCACCATTTTGTTGAAAAGTGATTAGATGTGCTTTTAAATTTTAAACAATGTGGGGAGCTTTGGGGCTTGCCTTCAAAAAGTATGAAGACTAGAGCACTCTGAAACAGCTGCTGGGGAAATAGTGTGGGCACAGTAAAGAGGTTCTCAAGGAAGTTTTCAGGGTTAACCCCTTGTCTCCTTATCAGCCTTTGTGATAACACCATAGCCTTTCGTAACTGTAGGAGAAATCCTTGTTAAACGGAAAGTTATAAAGGAGAAAATGTGATATTTGCAAGTGTCCTCTCCCCATAGTTTGCTGTCTCCTTAGGAGGTTTTGACAAAAGTAAATTTTGATTAGTTACTTCAACGGCTGGGAAGTCAGATTAACAAGTGGCTTAGCTGCTTATCTTGTAACTAGCAGAGGTATGAAGGAAGCCGGGCAAAGGTTAAAATACTAGCTATAAGAATCATTTTTCCACTTGCCATCATTCAATCCTGACCAGTTTGTATAGAACCGTTCCTCAAATTTTCTTATTCCTGCTTAGTCCCCTGTAGCCTCCTCAGCCTTCCCCTCCTCACAACTCTCCCTTTCAGCTTCGGCATACTCTTGCCCTGTTTCTTCTACTTGTGGGAGTCAAGATGCCTGATCTACCTTCTAAAATCTCATGTTGTTTAGAAAGCCCCAGGTTCCTGGCTTCAGCTGCCCTCATGGGACAGCTTGGGAAAGTGTGGCTGTGCCTCGCTGCACTCATCCTCTCAGACAAGGCTCCCAGGAGAAATCACCAAGTTACAAGGCGACTTCCCTTTACCTTGAGAATATTCCTTTCCTTAGATAAATAGGGGACTGTTTAGTAAGAGTCAATTTTAGCAAGAGACTGGAGTGACTTAGGTGAAAACTCCTACCCTACTGGAGAGAGCTTTAGAAAGCATCTTAAGTCAGAGGCTCTGGTGTGGACTGCTTGTTGCATTACTTTGGCTAATTAAAAAATAAAACCGGGTGCATTTTGACCAATTCTTTTGCTTTAAGTAATGTAAGCACTTCCATCACTTCATATAAATGGTTGTTTAAAAATATGTATTTAATTGAAGTACAGTCATATAGAACCAGTCAGCAAGAGGTCATTGCTGTTTGCAAGAGTAAAGAGTTTGGGGTCAGGTGAGCTGAAGGTGGAAGGGGTTTGTCAACTGTTGGCTGTATAACTTGGGACAAGTCACTTACTCCCTTTAAAGATTTCAGCTCCCTCTTCTTAAAACTTGGCACCTGATGTTACCTCCACAGTGTCGATAAAGAGTTCTGAATTAGAGCCTGTGGAAATAGTGGAATAGTGGGTAATGTTGTTGTCTTAGGTGCTTGGATCATTAAGAAATAAATAGATTATTCCAGCTCTGTGAGGCTTTGTGATCTCTTTGGGGAGACAAGTAATCCAAGGGCCCACTCTGGCTTCAAATGTGATGGACATTCAGAAGGAAGATCCTTAATGTGATCAGAGGCAAACACTTGCTGAAGGAGCTGAGAAGACCCCGGAGATGGGTCATCAGCCCTGATGATCTGTTAGAAACACTCAGCTTCTTCTCATACTTCTAGCCATGCCCCTGCAGAATAGCAAAGTCAGAATCTCAAAGGGTAGCAACCAACACTATTTAACATTGCTTCATGATGTTGACAGGTCCCCAAAGACACAGGTTGAGAGTCATTTAAAGATTCTCGGGTGGAAGTGGATTGCAAATAGCAGAAGGTATATACAGAGAAGTGGTTTCTTTTGTTGCCCTGCATGCTCTGCGTTGTAGGTGTATGGTAAGCAAGGACTACATGCTACCCCTGTATGTAATCCTCATAAAATACAGTCATCTGGCGTATGTCTAATATGTGAGTGGGAGGCAGTGCATTTGATGTAATTGCCTTTGTTTTATCCAGCTTTTGTTTTAATGCTAGCTATAAATGCCTGCTGTGGTGACTGTGTATACAAAATATCTTCAAAACAGATATGCTTCTTTTTAAAAAAAATTACCTTAATTTTGTGTGCACATGTGTACACATGCCAGTGGAGGTCAGAGTTCAACTTGCAGAAGCTTGTCGTCTCTTCTACCACATGGATCCTAGAGATTGAACTTAGGCCTTCAGGCTTCAGGGCAAGCACCGTTACCCACTGAGCCATTTCACCAGCTCAATAAACTACTTTTACATTTTGCATGTTTTAATATGAAGAAGATCTGTCATTTCGAATGAGTTTTCCAGACACAATGGTGGATTGGGTCTGCCTGACACTCCTGTCAAAGGCCTTTGAGAACAGGTCTAGAGAGACAGGCCTCTGGTTTGGCATTCTCTACTGCCACTGTCATAGGAGCAGGTTAACCAGACTTCTGGTGCTCGCCATCCATGTAAGCAAACAACTCTACACCTGCTGTTTGTATTTTTAAAAACAAAACCCTGAAAAGTGTAAAGCCTTTTCTCTAGTTAGTAAAAGTAGACCGAATCGTAAGTACATAGAAGAAAGGGTGGGATCCGTGCTCTAAAGCAGCAAGGAGGACTGAAGATCTGTGTGGTGGTCAATAACTTTAAGTCCATTTTTATGGAGGAAAATATACTCTCTTTAAAAACAAAATAGAAAGTCTGAAGTGAAGTGGAAGGAACAGCTCTGGATGAAGTAAAGAATGTAAAAAAGCTACACCCTGAGCATGCACATGGTTGAGCACCATGGCTACAGGAAATGTTTGTGTGTCTAACATTCATGTCTTTTTAAAAAAGATTTATTTATCTTATGAATGAGTGCTCTATCTGCATGTACCCCTGGATGCCAGAAGAGGGCATCAGATTCCAGTGTAGATGGTTGTGAGCTACCATGTGGTTGCTGGGAATTGAAGTCAGGGCCTCTGGAGGAGCAAACAGTGCTCTTACCACCTGAGCCATCTCTCCAGCCCCTAACATTCGTGCCTTAAAGAGGTC